ACGCTCTTCAGCTGCTACCAACCCCATCCCACGTTAACTCGCAAATAAAACTCCTCTTACCTCCTCATTGTCTTCATCAGGGTTCGCTTTCAGAGCACCGATATCCACTTCACGCCAGCTGCAACACACAACGTCAGAGGGCAGTCAATCACAGGCACAGCCAAGCACAGCAGCACAGGCCCTGCATACACTAACGCTGTCTTTTGGGAAAGAAAAAGTACAAGCCTGCCACGATGAACAACATACTTGGGCTCAGTTTTAAGCCAAGTGGCCGCATTTGTCTACCAAAATCCCTCCTGTGCTGTCAGACAACGGTTAGCCTGCTCCATTTTGAGCACATCTTTTTGCAGTGGGTTCACACCCACTGAGTGCAACGCTGGGGGACAGGCAGGAGACGTCCTTCCACGTTGGGAGGGTCAGGAATGGAGAGCGAGGCTACCAGCGTCCTCCCGCTGCAGCCCTTCCCTTCTGCCTCCCTGCCCAGCTCCTGGTGCTGGTCTGGCAGCGTGGCTGAAGCCTGCCAAGGGCAGAGGAAGCAGAGCAGATGCTGCAGCATTTCCTCCTCTTCCTCTGGCTCAGCAACAGGCTCCCTCCCTGCCCCGCTGCGAACGGGGCCTGGGAAGAGCATGTAGGACCAGGAGGAAGAAAGAGGTAAGTTGGGAAAGAGACCGGGAGAACTGGGAGGGAAAAGGAGGACTGGAAACCGGGCAGTTTGGATGAAGAAGCTGCACCAGTGCTGCAGCAAGTCGGCACGCTCCCACCGAGCACTCGGGTGTGAAAACCAGCAACTGATCTCATCCACGGTGTTAATCCAAGAACGTCCAAACAAGGGCCGACAGCTCACCTCCTCGCACTCGGCTTGGGCAGAGAAAACTTCTGATTCCTACCGCTGCCCAGGCGTGGGAGTGTTTCTCCTGACCGGTGCGACCCAAGGCAGCGGCCCTCCTGCACTGCAGCGTTAACCCAGCCCAGGCACCCACCACCCAGCCCGGACACGTGCAGAGCTGGGAAACCAGCAGGACCTTTGGCTCAACATGCTCAGCAGCTCTGCAGCGGGACAGAGGACAACCAGGACGACTTTAGATTGCACAAAGAGGCCTGAGCAGGGCAGCTGGCTTTCATGCACGAGGGACACGCAGACAACATATTCCCTAACTCAGCAAGTCTGCATCAATGGTATGATCAGAAGTTTTCCAAACTTTCTCCTACTTTCAAGGAAGACGAGAGCCCCTTTCCTCACCAGCATTAGCAGCCACTGGGAGCAAAGCCCTAGGCCAGGGCTGAACTTCTGACAAGGCAGTTGCACAGTAAAAGCCTGGGAGGTGACAGCCCCGCTGGAGCCGGGGATCAGGCACGTACCTGGGTGTGAGGATCTCTTTGTACTGCAGCTTCTCCACACGAGTCGTTGCAGCAACGGACATTGGGATGACAATGTTGTTAATATCGAATGAACTTTCACCTCTCCTCCTCCTTGGCTGCTGTTAACAAGAAGACAAGAACCACGTGAGAAAGGGTTGTAGGTTTTGTCACGTTAAGTCACTGATGGAAAAAGAACGTGGCCTCATACGAAATGGCCTCGTATGACCTATGGAGACTCCAGAACCAACAGCAATTTGCATCAGAATGGAGTTCACCTACTGCTTGCTGGAAGCCCTCTTCCCAACGAAAAATCCTTAGTTTGTAGGGTACAAACAAGGGCAAGGGCTGCAGTGGTCCTGCAGGCACAGAAGCAAGGTGAGCAAGGGTTGCTGAGCTTCAGCCACCATCGCCACACTGGCACCAGCCACTGCCCAGCCAGGCGGATCAGGAGATTGATCCGGCTGCTAAACTGAGCCAGCAAGAAGAAAAGCCTCCCGTATAATCCAATTCCCTACCGCTAACACAGAGAAAGTAGTGAGACCATCAGGAAAGAGGGAAAAACCATCCTGTTTGGAAACAGCCCCCCTGCTCATGTCCCAGCAGGGGTCTGGACCCACCGCAGGTGACACCGTGACAGAGGAGGAACATGAAGCAGCCAGACAAGAGTTCATCTCAGGTTGTGACAGCTGTACTAAAAGCCTAACAGCTTCCATCTGTATCGTGCTTTTGACTGGAATAGATTTTCTAAGACAGAAATAAGCTCCACACTTATCTATTTAAACCTGGTTGAACGCTGGGTGCTTTCCTACCATCTGTCTATCCAAAAACCTCCCCCACACCTGTGACAGCAGCACTGCTGGTACAGTGACACGAATCCTCACGGATCAGCTTGATAGGCGAATGGCCTGTCCTCCTAATGGACTCACCTGCATTTTACCACGTTCTCCGCCTCCTTTGATCCTTGCGGCTTTTAGTGTAAAAACATGCGGGAACCCAACCGCCAGGGACCTGCCACAGCCAAACCCCAGGACTCGTGTGAAGCTGGATGAGGACCGAGTGGGTGGGCAACTATTGCCACAGCAGCAAGGAAATCCCAACGTGTCACCGTCAACAGTGTGGCTGACCCACCGGTTGGAGAGCACATGCAAATCTGCACCAGACTGGGATACTCGAACCCAGGACCTGGACCCTTGAGCCCAGAGACCAGACCCCAACACCCACAATGCTCTTGCAGGACTCGGCTGCTGAAGGGAAGACACTTCATCTTGCTTTTCTGAATGAGCTTGCGAAAGAGCAGTGGAAAAAGCAGCAAGAGAAGACCAAGACATGTGTGCAAAGCACAAGTAAATGTCATTTTGACATGCTAGAGCTGCTGAGAAGAGCTGTCATTTTCTCCAAAACACCTAGCACATTCAAGCCAAACTACCACTGCTGGTTGGGTTCTTCAGACACCCTGTGCCATCACAGGATGCTTCACTGATGTCACAACTGATGATGCAACAGCACTCTGCAGTGAAGAAACCCAGCCGGGACCTGGCAGCCCCAGAGCAATAAGCTTGGAGCAAGGACAAGGGCACACAAGGTTGAGCTGGAAGTAGTGCCCTCAGCTCTGCCATGGACAGATGCCTCTTAACCACCCTGGTTTCACTATCAGGGTTCGAGGAGACCTGCTCCGTTATGCCTGGGTCACATCCAGCTCAGGCTGTGGCACAAACTACCAACTGGAGCGGTCAGACAGAGGCCAGGTTCTCCACTGGGACACTTAAGAGTTCAGCAGAATTCAGTCCTTTAATCAAGGGCTTCTGTTAACGTGGGTCAGGCGCTGGGAGGATGGATGACGTCTGGCGGAGGAGCTGCATCATCGATCCGTCCCAGAGCACAGCAGGAGGGAGTTATGGTCCTGCTCACTGACAACTTTTAGATACAGCTCCATAAAGGTCCCAAATCCTGTCATCCTTCAGCATTTTGGGAGGCTGAGCATGTCTCAGAAGACAATATGAGTTAAGCAACTGCTGAAGCTTGCGTATAGGTGCAAGTTAAGATCTCAACCACCGCTGCTGTACCACTGCCCTGTGACTCAGCCCCAACCCCATTTACAGCCCAGCGCCACCAAGGCCATGAAGGGAGAGCTATCTCAGTGGAAGCACCGTTGTACCAGCAGCAGCACACTGCTGGTGTTCAGCTCTTCTACTCTTCCTGCCACCCCCAGACAACTTCAGAAACCAAAACCCGGACGTGGAGCAAAGCCAGGGGACTGCTGAGAACAGGAACATTTACCAGCAGTTACTGAGCTGACAGTGAACCTGTAATTGCAGCTGACTGGCTCTCTGCACAGCCACCGTCAATCCAGGAACCCCAGGAGACCCAAAGTCAGAGTGAAAAAGAGGGCCAGCAACCCTACCACCAGCTGAACCAACGGGTCCAGCATGGTAAGAGAAATGCTAAGCACTCTCAAGCCTAAGATGAGCCTGAAC